GATCAGGTGTAACGTGAAAATCAAAACAATCGAATAAAACAAAAGAATTAAAGTAATAAATTGAGAGTTAAGGTTTGAGTTAGACACTTTGCTAAAGCATTGCTATTATTAAAAATTTGCAAGGAATTTTTTTTGTTAATGCGCAGAAGACGATTTCATTTAGAGTTTTTAGTGATTTTTTATAAAAAAATAAAAAGCGTAATTTTTATGTTACACCTGATCCATTGGTTTGCGCCATGCTAAAGTCATGTGACCGGAAAATTTTTTGTAGTATAATTACATGGATCATGCGAAATTTATAGACAGTTCTTAGGGACAGTAGGGACAGTGCAAAGCCACGTGATCTACAAAATTTAAAAATTCACGACTTTGAGCAAAGATACCTTGACGCTTCCTAAATAAATTTGATTCAATTTTTTTTTTATTTCGATAGTATAGCTCAGCAGAATCAAAATAAAAAAAAAATTCATTGAATTTTGTTGAAAAGTTGATGAGATATCTTTGCTCAAAGTTTTGAAAACATCTAAAACGCCTATCAAAATAATGGCTGTTGCAAAATTTTTATAACTTTGAGCGAGATTATCTTGGCAACCACCTAACTAAATTCAATAAATTTTTTTTTATTTGATTATATAGATTTCTCGAATCAGAATAAAAAAAATTATCAAATTTAGTTGAGTGATTATTAAGATATCTTGAAACTTTATCAAATAATGACCGCAGGTGAGAATATTACGGCAACTATCCAACTAAATTTGATAAATTTTTTTAATTAATCATACAAATCTGTAGAATAAAAATAAAAAAATTTATCGAATTTAGTTGCTGAGATATCTTTGCTTAAAGTTTTGAAACATTTAAACACCTTCGATAAAGTTTTTATTAAATTTTGAGTGAAGATATCTTTACAACCACCAAATTAAATTCAATAAATATTTTTTATTTTAATTCTATAGATCTGTAGAATCAAAATAAAAATTTTGCTGAGTTTGGTTAGTTAGTTGCCAAGATATCTTCGCGAAAACACTTAAAACATCTATCAAAATAGCAGTAGTGGCAAAATTTTTATAAACTTTGAGCGATGATATCTTGACAACTACCCACTAAATTTGATAATTTTTTTTTTTATATTGATTCTACAAACCTATAGAATCAAAATAAATTTTTTTATTAAATTTAGTTTGGTGGTCATCGAGATATTATTACTCAAATTTCTGAAAAAATAACTTTTGCTGACTGTCTTTAACAAACGATCACGTGACTTTTCACTGTCCCTAAGAACTGTCCATAGATTTCGCGTGGCTAGGGTACTACAATCAAATCATGTGACGTCATCTTAGCATAATTTTTTGTAATAAAATTTGGTCAATTCTGATTGGTTAATTCCTTATTGCGGCCGAAAATTAAATTTTCTTATCTTGGGTCTGATGACCCGCCCAGTTATGAGAACCAGTTATATGAGTTTGCATAGCCTTAGTAACACGATAATTAAAATTTGTAAACTCTATAAATCCTGTATTTTATTTTGCTAGAATTTACAATTTTAATTATCATGTTATTAACTTAGAAGAATAATAAGAACTTTAAAATTAATATATGACTATATATATATATTTATTTATTTATTATAAGACACGTCTATAGTAACTTTGTACCTCCTACTATACATAAAATTTTTAACTTAAAATTTTTTTAAAATGCGGTTAAAGCTCTATACACTAATTAATTAGCCAGTTTTGAGAATAATATATACATAGGAGTAAGTACTATAGTGTGTTTTATAAATGTAGTAATATATTAAATCTTATAGACATTCTAATACCCACCTCCACTATTACTTCTTATTTTATGTAATCCAAAAAGTGAAGACTCTTGCCAAAGATTTCCAGTCCAGAATTCACTTTTTTCATTTTTAATTACACCAGGTCCGAAGTATAATTTTGGTGTAATTTCTGGATTATTTAATACACGCTCCAAATATATTAATAGAGATATTGTAAATGCTTTCTTTGAAGAATCAAGCAGACGTATCAGGTATGTATCAAATGTGTGATTGGGTAATTTTTTAATATAATATGACGTTTTATATTTAAGTTTAGATGGTTTGAATTATTCTTATGATGGTAATATTGTTTTTTCATGTTAAAAAAGAATTGTATATGATTAAATTTCAAATATATAAGCTAAACTAACAATATCTAATTTATTGATTAGTTGATAGTACTAATGAATTAACAAGTATAGATACTACAAATTATGCAACATCCTCAAGATCTAATGAGAATTTAGCATCAAATTCAAGTGCGAAAATAGTAACTTCAATAGCAACATCTTATAATAGTAAGAATTAGTTGGTTTAAAATAACATAATCAAAAGCTATATATGAATAACTTTGCAATGTTTTGATAGATAATGAAAACGGGTTTGAATGCATAACTCGCATCAAGAAACTTTTACAAAGCTTTATAATTCATCTAATGATCTTGAAGCTGCTATGTGGATCCAAGTGTTTTAAATTTAGCAAACATTATTTATAATGCGATGAAAACTAAAACAAAAAATAGTAATGAAATGTTCTCTAATTCATACAATTCTATGGATATTCCAGAAATTAATAGGGTAAGTTTTTACAAATTCCAATAATTCATTACATCTAATTTTCTGTATACTTATTTATTAGATATTTTATATTAGCGTATGAAATGGCAATTGCAAGAAGAATGCAAGGCTCTTTTACTTCATACAAGAAACAACACCAAGGAGCTTTATGAAGAGCTAGCTGTAAAAGTATGCAAAATTCTGAAAGTGATTATCACATAGCAACATTAGTTAAAGACATGGGTAGTTGGTTTGATGTTTACCGTCATAATCTACATGTTGCTATTTCAACTCTTGCGGGTAATTTTGCTAAAATACTGTACATCAACAGTAAGTATTTAGTATCAATTATGTGTATTATCTGAAATTGAAACATAGAATTTAGAAGATTATATTACTATATTTACCCAAAATAACTCCCTGGGGCATTATCTAGGAGCATGCAAATTGAAAGAGCAAATGACTAAATTACTCTTCAATTGCATACCCTAAATAATGCCTTGGAGAATTATTTTTGGTAAATATTTTGTTTATTAATTTTTAGAGAAGAACCATCAATTAGTCAGTATCCGAATTTATAAGCGAAGTAATCTGGAAAAAAGTACTCAAGCTGCATTTGCAAGCTACCGATTTGCCATATTAGATAACGATCCAGAAATAATTATGAAGCTTGGTACTTTTGTATGCCAAGTGGTTATAAATGTTCTTATTGTGCAGAATAACCAACAAAATACTAGAACTGCTATTAGAAAATGTGACGAAATCACTTTAGATTTAAAAATTCTAACTAAGTTTGGAATAGTTAAAACTTTACCTGTTAGAACACTTTTAACTTTTTTCCACAAGTAGATTATCGTACAAAATAGCTAATAGTTGCATAAGCATAAATAGAAATTGCTATTCTGGTATTAGTAAAATCACAACGGTTTTGTTAATCAATGTAGAATTAGAATTATTATTATTTTATTGCTTATATAAGCTATGTTTTTTTTTTATTGATTTTATTTTCAATTATGAGTTAGGAGCATCTTAATTTTTCTGCTAGCATTTTTAAATATATCCTAAAATTTTAACCTAACTGTTATCAAATCTTCTCAAAGTATGGATGAGAATATTAGAATTCCCAATTAATTTGGCCTGAATTTTCAATTTAATCTATAGATTACTTTTTTTAAATAGAGATTATCTCTTTAAAGTTTGCTATTAACATACATATTCAACCACAAGATTGATTTATTAAAAAAAAGATAATCTTCGATTAAAATCAACATAAACTATTCAAAATATTAAATGGTGAAACTATAGTGAAAGATGGATTTACAACAGTATATGAGAAATGCAAATTCTTGAACAACCTATTGCCACTAAATTGTTTCATAATCCAAAAGAATATAATGAAGAATTTATAAAGAGGTGATTTATTTATGCTAAGTTAGAAGTATATTGTGATATCAGCATCAAAATTAAATGTTTTTAAAATAATGTGGATATCAAAAGGTAATATTTAAAGAAATTATATTATGCAATATACACCGAATGGACTTTTGTATAGTAATTTCCATACTTAGCATAATGGAATGGAAAAATAAATTAATATTATTGTCAATATCACCAAATATAGCATCAAAGGCAAAAAACATTATAAAATTTATGGAATTTACCATATATAGTCCCGAAACTTTAGAAGAGGATAACATACAATTGTATCAAATATCTAAGTTCGATCGCTCAATACATTTATATAATGAAGTTCAACCGTTTGCTTATTTATTTACCAGATAAATAATTACTATATGACGTTTATGATCCGAATCAATGATCTTGTTATTAGATCAATCTCACATAATCAATACACTCTTCATAGTAGTACCCTCCTCTTCACATAGTACCCCGGGATATTATTTAATTAATCTTGGCATTTTTGAAAAAGACCAGAGATACTGTATGCAGCGCTGTACGGTATTATTGTAGCGTATGAATTTAAAATAAAACTAGCAAATGTATTTGCTATTTCTTTGCAATTATACTAGATAAATTTATAGTATTATATGTTTTGAGTTATACCTATTTGCATTCAATTGTTTGATTGATTATGTGAACCGATGGATAAACAAACATTTTATCATTTTGCATAGAAATATAGAGTCCGACGCTTTGCTTCAAATTAATAACATCTAAATATTATATTAAATTTATTGAATGTTGTCACTATCAAACATTGATAGCAGACAAAAAAAAAGATCAAGAATCTGCCGTAAAATTTTGTTGCAGCTAGCTGTGACAATTCTTCCTCTATAACCTTAATTAGAAGTAGAGAGAGAGGTTTAATTAGTAAAAAAATTATTTATCTATAAAAATCTCTACATTCTAAAAAAGATATATAATTAGTCACAAGTTTTTATGTAAATTAAAAATTTTCTGAATGATCTTTCGGCAATTTGATTTTATATATTATATATTTTTAATTATTATATAAATCTGTTACTGTATTGTAACCAATCAACAAGAAATTTCCCGTTCATGATTTATCGCAACTACGTTGTGCAGCTACATTATATTTAATTTATAATTTACATAAGTACTTGTGACTAAA